TTATTACTCTAAATTTAGTTTCATTAACTTTATATTTTTACAGTTGATAATTTCTCTGGATTTTAGAAACTTATTATTAATACTTATAAAATAAAGATTTTTAAATAGTATCTTAAAAATTTTATCTTAATTTTTTTTCAAAAGTTATATATAAATGAAATTTACTTTGAGATAAAAACTAAATTTATTAGTTAAGTGCAGTTACTCAAACCTAATCCAATATTTTATGCTCCTTTATCATCGATCATCTTATTGCACCTTTTCAAACAAAATTAATAAATTTATTAACTATTTAAATTTGTTTTGATATTAAAATAATTCAAATTTTATATGTAATGAAAAAATAAAAATATTACCAATTTAACGAAATATCAAAATAAAGACTAGTAAGGAATTTGCAGTTACCAAGAGCTGTACCAATTGTTGAAGCTCCATCATCCCCTATATTATTTGATCTTTTATAAATGTAAATTAAATTTAATTAAAAACTTAAGACAGACAGACATTTTATAAAATTAATGTTTTTTTAAATTAAGTTAGAATAAAGAGTTTTGACATAATTTTTTTCTAAAGTTAAATATGAAATAAATTTACCTTATATCAAATACTAAATTTGTAAGTTTAATACAGTTACTCAAACCTAATCCAATATAGTGTGCTCCTTTATCACCAATTTTATTTTCACTTTTCAAACAAAATAAATAAATAAATTTATTACTATTTAAATTTGTTTTAATATATAAATCAAATTACATAAAATAATTCAAACTTTTTTAGTTATCAATAAATAAATAAATATAAAATTATTTTACGAAATATCAAAATAGAGATAAGTAAGGAATTTGCATTTACCAAGAGCTGTACCAATAGCAGAAGCTCCATCATCCCCAATTTAATTTTTACTTTAATTAATGAAAATCGTATTTAATTTAAAATTAAAGGCATTTTATAAATTTAATGATTTTTTAAACCAGTTTAAATAAAAAGCTTTGGCATTATTTTTTTAAAAGTTATAAATGAAATAAATTTATTTATTTATTTATTTACCTTATATTAAAATGTAAAAATGTGAGTTGAGTACATTTACTCAAACCTAATCCAATATTCTATGCACCTTTATCACTGATTTAATTATTACTTTTAAAACAAAATAAATAAATAAATAAATAAATAAATAAATAAGTTAATTAACTATTTAATTAAAAATTTAAAACATTTTATAAATTTAATTTTTTTTTAATTTAGTTTAAATAAAAAGCTTTGATATTAATTTTTTAAAAAGTTATAAATGAAATAAATTTATTTACCTTATCTAAAATTGTAAATTTGTAAGTTGAGTACAGTTACTCAAACCTAATCCAATAATTGATGCCCCTTCACAATAGATATAATTTTTCCTTTTCAAATAAAATAAATTAATTAACTATTTAAATTTTGTTTTGAAATTTAAATCAAAATAAATAATTCAAACTTTTTTATGCAATGAAAAAATAAATATATTATTAATTAATTTTACGAAATTCTTAATAAGAGATTAGTAAGGAATTTGCAGTTACCAAGAGCGGTACCAATAGTAGAAGCTCCATCATCCCCAATTTTATTATCCCTTTTTTAAATGAAAATAATGTTTACTTAATTAAAAATTTAAGGCATTTTATAAATTTAATGTTTTTTTAATTAATTCAGTTTAAATAAATAGCTTTGACATCAATTTTTTGTAAAAGTTATAAATGAAATAAATATATTTACATTATATCAAATTTTAAATTTGTAAGTTGAGTACAGTTACTCAAACCTAATCCAATATTAGATGCTCCTTTATTACTGATTTTAATTTCACTTTTCAAACAAAATAAATATATTAATTAATTAAATATTTTATTTTGTTTTGATATTAAAATATAAATATATTAAATAATTCAAACTTTTTTAAGTAATGAAAAATAGATAGATAGATAGATATATTACCAATACTAATTTTACGAAATACCAAAATAGAGACTCTTAAGGAATTTGCAGTTACCAAGAGCTGTACCAATAGCAGAAGCTCCATCATCCCCAATTTAATTTTCCCTTTTTTAAATGAAAATAATGTTTACTTAATTAAAAATTTAAGGCATTTTATAAATTTAATGTTTGTTTTTTTAAATCAGTTTAAATAAAAAGCTTTGACATAATTTTTTTAAAAGTTATAAATGAAATAAATTTATTTATTTATTTACCTTATATTAAAACGTAAATATGTAAGTTGAGTACATTTACTCAAACCTAATCCAATATTTTATGCCCCTTCCTAACTGATATAATTTTGACTATTCAAACAAAATAAATAAATTAATTAATGAACTATTTAAATTTGTTTTGATATTTAAATAAAAATTTATTAAATAATTCAAACTTTTTTAAGTAATGTAAAATAAATATATAACCAATATTACTCAATATCAAAATGAAGACTAGTAAGGAATTTGCAGTTGCCAATAGCTGTACCAATAGTAGAAGCTCCATCATTCCCAATTTAATTTTTACTTTAATTAATGAAAATAGCATTTAATTAAAAATTTAAGACAGCATTTTATAAATTAATTGTTTTTTTAATTAATTCAGTTTAAATAAAAAGCTTTGACATAATTTTTTTAAGTTATTATAAATGAAATAAATTTACCCTAAGTCTAATTGTAAATTTGTAAGTTGAATACAGTTACTCAAACCTAATCCAATATTTTATGCTTCTTTATCGCTGATTTTTTAACTGCTTTTAAAACAAAATAAATAAATAAATAAATTTATTACTATTTAAATTTGTTTTAATATATAAATCGAAATATATATTAAATAATTCAAACTTTATTTAGCTATCAATCAATAAATATAAAATTATTTTACTAAATAAACAACTTGAGATTAGTAAGGAATCTGCAGTTACCAATTACTGTACCAAGATGAGATTTATCCATATAGTAACTATTGCTTTCATAAATGTAAATAATTTTTAATTAAAAATTAAAGCTTTTATAAATTTAATGTTTGTTTTTTTAATTCAGTTTAAATAAAAAGCTTTACATAATTTTTTAAAAAGTTGTAAATGAAATAAATTTATTTACCTTATATCTAATTCTAAATTTGTAAGTTGAGTGCAGTTACTCAAACCTAATCCAATATGTTATCCTACTGTTTCCTTAATTAAATTTCTCCTTTTCAAACAAACAAACAAAATAAATAAATAAATTTATTAACTATTTAAATTTGTTTTGCTATTTAAATTAAAATAAATAAAATAATTCAAACTTTTTTTAGTTATGAATGAATAAATATAAAATTATTATTTTACTGAATAAACAATTTGAGATTAGTAAGGAATTTGAAGTTACCAATTACTGTACCAAGATAAGAAGTATCCAAATTGTAATTATTGCTTTAATAAATGTAAATAATTTTTAATTAAAATTAAAGCATTTATAAATTTAATGTTTGTTTTTTTAATTCAGTTTAAATAAAAAGCTTTACATAATCTTTTAAATAGTTATAAATGAAATAAATTTATTTATTTATTTACCTTATATCTAATTCTAAATTTGTAAGTTGAGTACAGTTACTCAAACCTAATAGAAAATTTGATGCTCCTTTATAACAGATTTTATTTTCCCTTTTTCAAACAAACAAACTTTTTTTAGTTATCAATGAATAAATATAAAATTATTTTACTAAATTGAAAAGTTGAGATAAGTAAGGTATTTGCAGTTACCAAGAGCTGTACCAATAGTAGAAGCTCCATCAGCCCAAATAAAGTTTTTACTTTAATAAATGAAAATGCATTAAATTAAAAATTTAAGACATTTTATAAATTAATTATTTTTTTAACTCAGTTTGAATATAAAGCTTTGACATAATTTTTTTTAAAAATGATTAATGAAATACATTTATATATTTACCTTATCCCAAATTGTAAATTTGTAAGTTGAGTACAGTTACTCAAACCTAATCCAATATTTGATGCCCCTTTATCACCAATTCTATTTCCCCTTTTCAAACAAAATAAATCAATTTATTAAAAATTTTATTTTGTTTTGATATTTAAATTAAAATAAAAAAATAATTCAAACTTTTTTTAGTTATCTCTTAATTAATTAATAAATAAATAAATAAAAATAAAATTATTTTTCTAAATTGAAAAGTTGATATAAGTAAGGAATTTGCAGTTAGTTAGTTAGTTAGTTAGTTAGTTAGTTAGTTAGTTAGTTACCAAGAGCTCTACTAATTGTAGAAGCTCCATCATCCC